ATCTCAAACCGGGTCTAACGGGACACTTGAAACGTATATAAAAAGAGATAAGGGCGATGACGAAGAAGATGATGATGATAAGCACCGTGATGATGCTGATGATGATGATGATGATGAACTGACATGATAATCATGATGACGCATCCTCAGCGTCACCAGCAGTCATCATGATAATCATGCCCACGCATCTTCTGCATCTCAAATCGGGTCTAACGGGACACTTGAAACGTATATAAAAAATGATAAGGACGATGACGAAGAAGATGATGATGATAAGCACCGTGATGATGCTGATGATGATGATGATGATGAACTGACATGATAATCATCATGACGCATCCTCAGCATCACCAGCAGTCATCATGATAATCATGTCCACGCATCTTCTGCATCTCAAATCGGGTCTAACGGGACACTTGAAACGTATATACAAAAAGATAAGGACCATGACGAAGAAGATGATGATGATGAGCACCGTGATGATGATGCTGATTATGATGATGATGAACTGACATGATAATCATCATGACGCATCCTCAGCATCACCAGCAGTCATCATGACAATCATGTCCACGCATCTTCTGCATCTCAACTCGGGTCTAACGGGACACTTGAAACGTATATAAAAAAGATAAGGGCGATGACGAAGAAGATGATGATGATGAGCACCGTGATGATGATGATGATGATGATGATGAACTGACATGATAATCATCATGACGCATCCTCAGCATCACCAGCAGTCATCATGATAATCATGTCCACGCATCTGCTGCATCTCAAATCGGGTCTAACGGGACACTTGAATCGTATATAAAAAGAGACAAGGACGATGACGAAGAAGATGATGATGATGAACACCAACTGACATGATAATCATCATGACGCATCCTCAGCATCACCAGCAGTCATCATGATAATCATGTCCGCGCATCTTCTGCATCTCAAATCGGGTCTAACGGGACACTTGAAACGTATATTAAAAATAAGATAAGGACGATGACGAAGAAGATGATGATGATACGCACCGTGATGATGCTGATGATGATGATGATGAACATAATCATCATGACGCATCCTCAGCATCACCAGCAGTCATCATGATAATCATGTCCACGCATCTTCTGCATCTCAAATCGGGTCTAACGGGACACTTGAAACGTATATTAAAAAAATAAGATAAAGACGATGACGAAGAAGATGATGATGATGAGCACCGTGATGATGATGCTGGTCTAACGGGACACTTGAAACTGACATGATAATCATCATGACGCATCCTCAGAATTACTAGCAGTCATCATGATAATCATGTCCGCGCATCTTCTGCATCTCAAATTGGGTCTAACGGGACACTTGAAACGTATATAAAAAATAAGACGAGGACGATGACGAAGAAGCTGATGATGATGAGCACCGTGATGATGATGATGATGATGAACACCAACTGACATGATAATCATCATGACGCATCCTCAGCATCACCAGCAGTCATCATGATAATCATGTCCACGCATCTTCTGCATCTCAAATCGGGTCTAACGGGACACTTGAAACGTATATAAAAAAGATAAGGACGATGACGAAGAAGATGATGATGATGAACACCAACTGACATGATAATCATCATGACGCATCCTCAGCATCACCAGCAGTCATCATGATAATCATGTCCGCGCATCTTCTGCATCTCAAATCGGGTCTAACGGGACACTTGAAACGTACATAAAAAAGATAAGGACGATGACGAAGAAGATGATGATGATAGCACCGTGATGATGCTGATGATGATGATGATGATGAACTGACATGATAATCATCATGACGCACCTCAGCATCACCAGAGTCATCATGATAATCATGTCCACGCATCTTCTGCATCTCAAATCGGGTCAACGGGACACTTGAAACGTATATAAAAAAGATAAGGACGATGACGAAGAGATGATGATGATGAACTGACATGATACTCATCATGACGCATCCTCAGCATCACCAGCAGTCATCATGATAATCATGTCGACGCATCTTCTGCATCTCAAATCGGGTCTAACGGGACACTTGAAACGTATATACAAAAAGATAAGGACGATGACGAAGTAAGGACGATGACGAAGAAGATGATGATGATGAGCACCGTGATGATGATGCTGATTATGATGATGATGAACTGCCATGATAATCATCATGACGCATCCTCAGCATCACCAGCAGTCATCATGATAATCATGTGCGCGCATCTTCTGCATCTCAAATCGGGTCTAACGGGACACTTGAAACGTATAAAAAAAGATAAGGACGATGACGAAGAAGATGATGATGATAAGCACCGTGATGATGCTGATGATGATGATGAATTGACATCATAATCATCATGACGCATCCTCACCATCACCAGCAGTCATCATGATAATCATGTCCACGCATCTGCTGCATCTCAAATCGGGTCTAACGGGACACTTGAATCGTATATAAAAAGAGACAAGGACGATGACGAAGAAGATGATGATTGAAATGAAACACAACTGGGAATGATAAGCCATCATGACGCATCCCCCCCCCCTTCCCCCCAGCAGCTCCTCAGCAGTCATCATGATAATCAGTCCGCGCATCTTCTGCATCTCAACACGGGTCTAACGGGACCACTTGAAACGAATAAAAAAAAGAATAAGGACGATGAACGAAGAAGATGACTTGGCAAAAGCACCCGGGAATGATGCTTTTGATGATCACGATGATGATGATGATGAACTGACAGATAATCATCATGACGCATCCTCAGCATCACCAGCAGTCATCATGATAATCATGTCCACGCATCTTCTGCATCTCAAATCGGGTCTAACGGGACACTTGAAACGTATATAAAAAAAAGATAAGGACGATGACGAAGAAGATGATGATGATGAGTACCGTGATGATGATGCTGATTATGATGCTGATGAACTGACATGATAATCATCATGACGCATCCTCAGCATCACCAGCAGTCATCATGATAATCATTTCCGCGCATCTTCTGCATCTCAAATTGGGTCTAACGGGACACTTGAAACGCTTAAAAAAAATAGGATGAGGACGATGACGAAGAAGCTGATGATGATGAGCACCGTGATTATGATGATGATGATGATGATGATAAACTGACATGATAATCATCATGACGCATCCTCAGCATCACCAGCAGTCATCATGATAATCATGTCCCCGCATCTTCTGCATCTCAAATCGGGTCTAACGGGACACTTGAAACGTATATAAAAAAAGATAAGGACGATGACGAAGAAGAAGATGAGATGAGCACGTGATGATGATGCTGATTATGATGATGATGAACTGACATGATAATCATCATGACGCATCCTCAGCATCACCAGCAGTCATCATGATAATCATGTCCGCGCATCTTCTGCATCTCAAATCGGGTCTAACGGGACACTTGAAACGTATATAAAAAGAATAAGGACGATGACGAAGAAGATGATGATGATAAGCACCGTGATGATGCTGATGATGATGATGATGAACTGACATGATAATCATGATGACGCATCCTCAGCATCACCAGCAGTCATCATGATAATCATGTCCACGCATCTTCTGCATCTCAAATCGGGTCTAACGGGACACTTGAAACGTATATAAATAATAAATAAACATGATAAGGACGATGACGAAGAAGATGATGATCATGAGCACCGTGATGATGATGCTGATGACGATGATGATGAACTGACATGATAATCATCATGACGCATCCTCAGCATCACCAGCAGTCAGCATGATAATCATGTCCGCGCATCTTCTGCATCTCGAATCGGGTCTAACGGGACACTTGAAACGTATATAAAAAAGATAAGGACGATGACGAAGAAGCTGATGATGATGAGCACCGTGATGATGATGATGATGATGATGATGAACTGACATGATAATCATCATGACGCATCCTCAGCATCACCAGCAGTCATCATGATAATCAAGATAAGGACAGCGGCGACGACCACCACGCCGATGATGATGATGATGATGATGATGTTCAATCTTCGGTTATGCTCATTTACCAGCCAGCCTTGGACTTGTAACCGCCCTTCCCGTACGCCTCCCCCTTTGAGGAGAAGGGGTCGGCGGATAATAAAGCAAAGCTTGGGTTTGGGCTCTTTGGACTGCCAACCCTTTGGATCGGCGCCCAGATGAAGTGGCGAGGGTGAAGGGTATTTTAACTGAATTTTGATGTGGGCGCGTCGGAATGTGCACGGGAGGGGCAAGGGTTGAGTTGAAACATGGGGCTTGAAATTTCGCAAAATGTAAAGAATTTGCTCGGGCCCAGTGACCAGAGGTGTTCCATGAACAGCTTTGGGCTCTTTGGACTGAACCCCTCAAGTGGCTCCGAGGGAGGGCCCAGTTCACGGAGGTCAAAAGCACAGCTTCAAGGCATGTTTTGGAAAAGTCAACGCTTGCGCACGGATCCTGCAAATGGAACCAAAGCGGAGCAAGGCCTTCCAAACTTTAAGTGCAGATCAAGGCCATAGATCCTCCAGCTTCAGGTAGTCACCAGCCCTTGCCCGGAAAAGGGCATTGGTCGCTGGCGGGGTGTACGCTTGTTCATGAATTGTCGGTATCCTGTGGACTTGCCAGTGGTTGACAGCATCCTGTTGGCTTGGCCATGCACTGCAGGATGTCCGGATATCCCAATGCACAAGCGGAGCTAGGCTATGCATCGGCCAAGGTAAGATGGCATAGCAAAGTTGGTTTGGGCACTCGGACCTCCAGGACAGCTTTGAGCCCACCCAGACCTGAATCAGGCTGACGCCACATATGTGACCAGAGCGATGCCTCGGCAAAAGTGCCGAAGTCTGCATTTCTACTTGGTTGGAGCTTTATTTGCTATTGGCTTCTTCATTGTTGAAGCCAGTCGAGCACAGACTTCGCCCAGAAGGCAGCCACCAGAAAGTGGGGGGCAGGGGGAGCGGCTCGTCTTGATACGTCGTGCGCCTCAGCTTGGATCCTGGCGGGCACCATTGTGGAAGTCATGGCTGCCTCAGAACTGGCGGGGCGACCCGGTTGACCGGAAGTACGTCTGTATACACATGTATATATTCGTGTGTGTGTGTATCAATGTATCAATGAGCCTGCATTCCTCGGACAAACAACTGACTGAAATAATCAGCCATACAGATACTGATGCAACATGATACTGTACTTCAAAAGCCAAAACTGAAGCAGTCTCTCAAGATTCGACACGAGGATCCCGTCCCAACCCTCAGCGCTGGCTTGACACAATTTGACTTGTGTTTTTGTATCATGTTTGTGAGGTTGTCCATGTTCGGCTAAAGTGAGAAGGTGGCACAGCGGGAAGCTTTTTCCGGGACCACATGCCACGACTGCCCGTATATGCATGCAGCACGTTTGCACGGTGGGGGAATTGGTAAAGCTTCTGAATTATTTTTTAGCAAAACTCAGGTTCTTCCTGATCCTATCCATACGATGCGCCCTCCCAAGAACTAAAATGTGGAACCTTACCTAACTTATTTTCCGGCCTGGTTTCACAGAAGCGACCAGGATGCCAGTTTAAAAGCAGTGCAATGCGCCAACAGTGCAGCAGCCACGTCTATTTTCGCAACATTCACGTTTGGTGCAACTTTGAAGTTGTGAGCACCCTCGGTCAGCCAGGTCTGTCGCGAATTATGATGCTCTTGCGGAAGTTATTTTCTTTTGTCAGAAAGTGATTGCGGCAATTCCAGGAACTGTGGCATGAAATCCAGTGGACTCCCATGGGATGGCTGACCTCCGATCGGCTGCCTAGGCTTCCTGAAGGTGCCTAGTTCTCAGAGCAGAAGTGTGGGGGGGGTCACCAAGGGAGGTTGGCCGGGAAATTGCCCCATGTTAGTTGATTTCACGAGAACTGATTATGTTGGCGCAGGGTTGGGACATTTCTGAGGGTGTACTAGTAGGCATATCCGTAGAGTGGCTTTTCTGGCCAGCTGACTGGTGAGGAGCTGGCACAAACCACGACTGACCGAGAGTGATGTTCCTGGCGATGGGAAGCCGGGCATTTGTTTGCATAGCTGACGTGCACAAGCTGACAATCAAAGCCTGGAACGGCTCGTTGTGAGATGTTTGTTTCTCCAGGGTTGCATGAGCTAATTGCTTCCTGGCTCATTTTGTTTGGCAAGCTACTGCACGTTACTGTATGTATTAGGTGTGTGTGTGTGTCTGTTCAGGCAAGACTGCATGTGCGTGTGTGCACGCGTGTGTGTGTGTGTGTGTGTGTGTGAGCACTGTTGGGTAATGAGCATGTGTGTGCCAAATCGCATCGAAGCCAAGATGGGGTTGTCATGACGTTTGTCTTTGTTTTGTTTCAATGATTTTTCTTTGACATTGAAAGGCATGCTCCTGGAAGGACGGTTGCGCATTGTTTTGGGTCAAGACTAGCTGTGGTGTTTTCAGGTTTTCAGGCTGGCAAAACTACTTTGGTTGATTCGCAAGCATATTGAGAACATGTCACACCATGAGCCCCCTTTTTCAACGATGCGAGGGCAATTCTGCGAGGGGCATTTGAAGGCCGGCTATTCGGAGTTGTCAAGCTGAGGAACCGACAAAGAGAGCCCGAACTCGGCCACCGAGTCGGCCTTCGGTCTACTTTGGCATACAGCTTGCGAAAGCGGCCAGGCCAATCAAGATTGTTTCAAGGTGATTCGAAATCAAACACAAGACATGAATTGACAGCTGGTACGGATCACTGCAATGATGCGTCAGTACACGGCCACAGCTTGCATCTGGAGCCATAGCTTGTATTTTATGTTCAAGCGTTTGTCGGATCCATATCCCGACAGCGCTGGGAGTTAGCGCAGTGCCAAAGCGCCTGCATTTTGTTAATGACAGAAAAAGATGAGTGGAGGGCCAAGTCATGCACCCAACAAAGAAAGGTCAGGAATTGTTCACGCACCCGCAAGTGCATTGTCAGGTGACATTGTGATAATACAGCAAGTGTTGCGCTCAATGTCTTCTTGCCAAATATTCGGCAACTGGTGGAACTGTCCCTGCTGAGGCAAGTACAAATGCCTTAACTATACTTCGGGTGAATTCTGGCCATCTGCCTGATTTCATCCGATCCTAGGTCTGAGCTTCCCGCTCGCTTGACCGTTCACACAAAGCCTCGGACTTGACAATCAGGCTGAAGAACAAGGCATGCCAACTCGCAAAACAAACCTTGCTTTGCTGCTCACGTCTCAGATATAGGGCGGGTTTCCCAGTGCGAGAAACCCGTGTGCATGTGTGTGTGTGTGTGAGTGTGTGTGTGTGTGCGTGTTGCACATTGTTGCAGGTCTGGTCGGTATGTGCCGCCACGCTGCCAAAGCTAAGCTGAACGAGCAAAATCTTTATACAACTTCTGAAACATGCTGCAAGATCTGAAATTAGCATTAACCCAGTACTCACGCAGCGTAGAGTTCAGCATCTAGCCGTGCACTCCACAACAGCAGGTTTGGCACGGTTGCCTCACCCAGAAGCAATCAGCTTCTGCCCGTCCTCCGGATCCAAGAAGTCAGCCCTCCTTCCGGGAAGACTAGCAAGTTGCTTGGCGAAAGCAATGGAGGTTCTCCTGCTACTAGGCGTTTTGGTTTTCATGATTGGGCAGCCCCTTGTAATTGTGTCAACATGGTGAAGGCGGCAAAGCCAGCAACATGGTGCAGGCAATCCACCCATGTTTGATGTAGCTTGATGTAGCTTGATGTAGCTTGATGTAGCTTGATGTAGCTTGATGTAGCTTGATGTAGCTTGATGTAGCTTGCTGTGACCGCCGGACATGCAGTGCTTTCTGGTTGTCGAATGCTGTGATCCAGCCATCAATTAGCTTACATATCAGCCAGCCGACCACAATGATGCTTCCTAGCCCCGGCATCATGGTGAAACGCAGCGAAGAAGGTATATGATTGACAGCGCTGCGCTTATCCACCGCGTCGGCATTTGTCTGAAATCGCAAAGCTTCTCGGACTCTGTGCCTGTGTTGGCACCATGGTTTTCTCGGTTGGCACCATGTTCATCGGTTGGCACCATGTTAAGCTAATCGGTTGGCACCATGTTTCCATGGTTTCCAGAGCTTCTCGGACACCGTGCCTGGCTCAGCGGTTGTCAGCAATGGCGGTGCTGGAAAGCTCTCGCAAGGCCAGCAACGCATGCAGTGTTGCGTCGTGCGGCTTTACGACCTCAAGTCGGTGTGTTGCATGGTATGGTTGCAACGTCAATCGCTGCTGTTGCTGCTGTTGCTGCTCCTGCTAGTCAAGTTCGTAGGCTAGGAACATATTGCAGATGGTACTCGTATTTTTTTGAAATGCCACCCCGATCCTAAATGTGCACATATATTACCATCACCGTCACCACCCTTGAGCAGCCGTCATTGCTTCGAGGCTTATAATTATATCAGATCTCGCATATCGATGCATGTGTGTGTGTGCGCGTGGGATTAAGGTGCAGGCTTTTCATAGTTGCACCTTCCCCTGGTGTCCTTTATGTTATTCACTGTTCTTCTCAACTATCAATGGAGTCTCAAGGTGACTACCAGCTGCTTGGCCTTCGCTTGGATTCTTTTGGATCATAGGCTTCACCTTTGCGAAGCGTGAGTCGTAGCTCACAGCCATCGCCAGGCGGAGGATCTGAAGCAGCAGGGTGGCGCCGCATATGCGCGCAAGGTGGGGACAATTGGTAGCCTTGAGTGCAGAATGGCGATGGTGCAACAGCCGATGTGTGTGTGTGACTGGTGGTTCTTGTTTCTGCCTTTGTACGTTGGAAACGTCTTGTTTTTGTTTAATTGTAAGGCAGCTGCTGTAACAGGGTGCAAGTCCAGCTCAAATGACTTCTCAGTGATGCAGTGTAATTACGCTTTTGGAACTGTTGGGGGCTGTTGTTTTTGCACAATGTGGATTAGAGTCTAGCTGCACTTCATCCTGAAAGACCCACAGCCCCACAACAAATTTCAGCAGCAGAGCCGGCTGCTTGCGGCACCATGAGGAACTGTGTTTGGCGAGGGCGCAGTCAGTGTACGTGCAACACTGTGTCCTTTCAATGTTGCACTCTGGGTTTCATCATTGAATCATGGGCACGCCATGACCCAGCGGAGCCATGAGTCGTTTAAAATTGCTGGCTCAAGTCCAAGCTGGGGTCCACTTTGGCGCTTCAACTGCTTTGAGTTTGATGCGAAGTGGCGCCAGTGGAAACTCTAAACGGCACAACCACACACAAACACACGATCGCGGGCCGTGTGCCACGGCACAGCACGTCATGGCGCGGCACGAGCGGCAAACATGCAAGTACCCCAGCACGGAAGCTGAGCTGTTTTTGAATTAGTTTGCGCACATCAATTTGGTTTGGTTCCTTGAAGATTGTTGAATCGTTCGAGCACGATGCTTGCCCTCTTCTTCGGAGTTTATGTGAGAGGTGATGTTGGATGCCTCACCTGCAGCGAATGGCCCAGCTTTGAGTTTGTTTGAGCACAGCATGTTCTCGCATTGATGAGTTTGCCAGCCGGCCGGCTCTGCCGCGACCAGGATTGGTCGTCGGCAGCAGAGCACTACTCAGCTGCCTTGCAGTTCCAGGCTTAGAATGCCTTCGTCACGGGTATTCTGGGAGCCCCACACCCAGCTCCCGCCATCCAAGCCGGGGGAAGCATTGACCCTTGCGGCGACTGCCATTAGAAATGACCTGTCCCAGGTCAACAACGGAATCAGAATGGCCGAAGGTCATTTAATGCTACAAAGCCATGCTGACACTTTGTTGTTGCAAATTCGGACATGCACCCCTTTTCAGTCTTTGAGGTTATTCGTGACTAGGGCGCTGAATCCTCAAAACATGATGTCTCAAACGACTGCAGGATGAGAGATGCAGCCTCACAAAGCCATCTTTGTAGAGAGATGCTTGAGAAGGAACTCGCAGAGGTTGACATGTTGACTGATTGTTCACCCATTTCCTGCAAAGATGGTCTGCCCATTTTGCACATGTCACACCTGGACATACTGCTTCCTTTGGGTGTTCAATGCTTTGGAACTCATGTCGTATTGTTTCACAGTCAATGCGATGCTTGTCCCTTTCCAAGTCTGGCTGACTCTGACCCGCTGCCCTTTGGCTTGTAGCTGAAGGGCCTTGACTGTGGCTCCTCGGGCGGAGGGCAGGCACGGAAGCAAGCTGTCTTTATAGCATGCAGTGAGGTACTGAAGGCAGATCTGAGGCGGTCGACCTCGGGTTCCGCCCAGGATTCCGCCCAGGATAGATGAGCTCAGCCTTGAAGTCCAAAGGATGCAAGCTTACGTTGAATCAAAGCGGAATGCTTTTCATGCAGCTGTCCTTGTTTCTAATCAGGCAAGTCTTTGATTCTGAAGTAATTGTACCGAAAATGGGAGTTGCGCAGTCTAGCAGAGCGGTTTACTTAAACTGGTTGGCAGAGCTTGATCATTCAAATGCAACTGGTCTTCGTCTGGCAAGGCATGCACACAAACATGATTCGCAAGGGATTATTCATCAAATTCAGCATTGTAAAAATGGCCATGGCTTGATCCATGAGTTGTGTCAGACCGCAAGTGTGCATGGTATATAGTATACATACATATCATATATATATATATATGCGCGGTGATCAGTTTGATTTTGACACCGAATGTCAGTTGAGTCAAAACCCGGTACACAATTGGTCGACCCAGAACCATGTAAGAAACTAAGAAGGCGGCCGCAGCTATTTATGGCTGGGATCAACCTTGACTTACCCGGGTTTTGATTGTGGCTCTGGCACAGCTTTAAGAAAACGCTAGGCAACGCAATCTATTTGGGAGACTGTCTGGTCCAATTCGCGTGCCCGGAGGTTTCAAAGTCTCAGCTTCTCGCCAGGGCCAATGGGCTGGTTCTGCCGATGCCGCAGGCATTTGTCGAGTCGGATCTTGGAGTCAGCATGTCGAAGGCATGAGTTGGTTGCAACATAGGGACCCCCACCGGCCACCCTGCCCGAAAACAACAAGGTGGAAGCGTGTTCCCGAATGAAACACACACACACACACACATACAGACAGCTCTGAGCTTCTTGAAGCTGGCCCCATGATCATAAGAGATCATGGTTGATTGTCCATTGTTTAAAAGCATCTTCAGCATATATGTTTACGTTTATTATATTATTTTGACCTATACTGGTTCGTTGTTATTTTATTACAAACTTGCCACTGCATGTCAATGGAGACCTGTGACGTGTGAGATGTTTTCCATAATTTTCAGCGATGTGTTGCATGGCGTGAGCAGTCAGGCACAACTCGGTGAGTTGTCGACCATAGGGCCGTGAATTGCAGATTATGTTGCTGTGAACGCATGGGCCAAGTTGAGACACCCGTGGCCCTTCCACAAGTGCCTTTGGCTTTAAGAGCACGCCATCTTTTTTTTGGCCACCGGCGCAATTTACCCGGAGCAAACAGACAAGCAGGACGCTCTTGGTTTTCTATATCTAGGGGATGTTCCAAGAAACCACCAGACAGGTCAGGGCGGGAGTTGGTTTGTGGATATCTCTTTGTTGCTGGTGAATTGTTGGTTGGTTCGCCCTGCCTCTCAGCAGAATCGGAGAAAGTGCCAACAACCAGGCGGTGGCAACATGCAAAGGTTTTATCAGCAGCAAATGCAAGGAAGCTCCCACTTATGCTACACCTTCTAAGTCATTTCACAAAGTCGGACTAGAGTCCACAAAAGGCCGTCAATCCCAACCGAAGACCCCGTTTAGATGCATGTGTGTGGGATCCTCCATTTGCAAGGCGAGAAGAGGAGCCCTTTGACACACCGCCCGTGCGGCAGAGCTCCTTCACGGTGCCTGGGAAGCGAAAGACGTGGTCGGGGGATGAACACTCAGCACCAGCTACGGCCAACTATGGAAGGGTCAGGGGTTCCAGGTATTGATACATTCCGGTTTCTGGCTGTGTGTCAAAACTGCTGGGGGGGAATAGTGCTGCTTTCTTACGGTTGCACGGGGTTTTCAGGAGCCACTAGTGAATGGGGGACCTTGTTTGTTCAACCCCGAACCTGTTGCTTGACATCCATCTTACCTTTTGGTCTCTGGGCCCAAAAACAGGCCGGGGTCAAGAATCGGGTCCCTCATTCTTGACCTCATGCCGGTGTCCCGGGCTTCTCGAGACAGTCGAGCCATGCTCTAAGACGACGTTTTTTCAGCCCCCTGACTCCAAAAGCCCCTCTTGACCTTCCTCGGATCTCATTTGAATTGATGTTGCATGTTATGGTTCGCTAACTATGGGCCAGAATCAAACATGTGATTTTGGTTTGGTGGCAAGAGCTCGGCTTTTAAGCATTGAAATTGCAGACACTTCCCCACAACGTAAAATACATGGTTGAAACCTCTAGCTGATATAAGCAAGCGACCCTGCCTGGCCAATAGGACTGCAAAAGGAAAGTAAAAGGACATTCCATGTTGTTTTTTTACAGGGCTAGAGAGGGCCAGGATTGCTCAGAGGGGGTTTTGTGTTATTCGAGGGTTTCGATTTTGTCAAACCTTTGTTTTACAATCTGTGATAATTGATTTGTTGTTTCCAGCTTGCCGTGTTGTTTTTTGTGATGATGTGTTTTTAATAAAACACATCTGGCATGGAAACGCTTGAGACCCCGAAAGGAATTAGTATTGGCAACAGTATTGGCAATAGCTTTGGATATTTGCATTTTGTTTTGTCTGGAAAAAACCGGCGTGTTTACTCAGAGCGGTTTATCGCTTTAGATGACGTTTGCAGACGCGTGTGCTGCAGGAAGATCTGGCTCATCATGTTTTACACAATGATAAATGACAGTTGCTTCAACACCTAAAGGGCTGCTCTGCTGTTCAATCTCGGACAGCTTTTGACTTTGACAGCGGCCAGGCCTATCCCTTGGTAATCTCGAAGTTGCGCTAAACAGCAAGTAAGAAGGCCTTCAGGCGAGCTTGTTTGATGTCATTCAGATGGAATGATTAAGTTACTCACCTGCCAACCAGCCGACAACACCACCATTACCAGCAGCAGCAGCAGCAGGCACAGCGGCAGCAGCAGCAACGACAACAACAACCGCAACAAGACCAGCAAAACGCAGCAAGAGCAGCCGCCACAGCCACAACACAGCCACCATCGACCAGCATTTCTCAACTGCAGCCACGACCACCATTGCCAGCATGTTGGCAGTATCGTCAGCATCGCATCATCAAGGGCATCAAGAGTGTCGGCTTTTATTCTCTCGCACATGAGTGTCGGTTGCCCTGAGCCTCTACATGATCAAAACCTGCTTTGGTTTCCCTCGTGGCGATCACGTCTTTTTTTAGCAATCCGAGGATGGTGCTGTGTCCGAGGGCACAGATGGTCGAAGAGCCCTGATGAGCCCCAAGCGGCATCCCAGGATTGCTTGGCCACGGATAGTTCCTCAAGCGCCCGCATATTAGTCCCTCTTTGGGTGGCGTAGTTATCGGAGATCACCTTTGGGGCAAGTTTAGCTGATCTGCTGTGGGGGATGTTTGAAGACGACGAAGAAAGGACCCTGCTTGTTTGTCAATCTTGAGGACCCCCAAGGTATCCCTTTGGTTCCGATGCCAAGCCAGTCTCATGAGAGATGCAAATGACTTAGAATCCATTTGTACATTCACTTTCCCACCCACACACCCACATACCAACGAAATCCAACACACAAAGCCACAAGCACGCATACACCAACACGCAAGCACGCAGAAACTCAGACACAGACACGCACACACACACACACACACACACACACACACACACACACACACACACACACACACACACACACACACACACACACACACACACACACACACACACACACACACACACACACACACACACACACACACACACACACACAGACACAGACACAGACACAGACACAGACACAGACACAGACACAGACACAGACACAGACACAGACACAGACACAGACACAGACACAGACACAGACACAGACACAGACACAGACACAGACACAGACACAGACACAGACACAGACACAGACACAGACACAGACACAGACACAGACACAGACACAGACACAGACACAGACACAGACACAGACACAGACACAGACACAGACACAGACACAGACACAGACACAGACACAGACACAGACACAGACACAGACACAGACACAGACACAGACACAGACACAGACACAGACACAGACACAGACACAGACACAGACACAGACACAGACACAGACACAGACACAGACACAGACACAGACACAGACACAGACACAGACACAGACACAGACACAGACACAGACACAGACACAGACACAGACACAGACACAGACACAGACACAGACACAGACACAGACACAGACACAGACACAGACACAGACACAAACACTCACACACACACACACAAGCGCTTTTGCAGTTGGTTGCACTTGCAGTGCGCACACACACACACAGCCACGAACCTATAGTGTGCAACAAAAACATACTGTTTGCCCAATCCCTGGCACATATACAGACACGTACACGCACGCGCAATCACACACCCACGCCGTCCACCACACACCCCATCCCCCACACACCCCATTCCCCACTCCCCACACTACACGAACACACACACACACACTTGCGACCACACACGTCCCCCGCACAATCACACGCACAAAACCACACACCCACACACGCCACTAACCCACACCCACACGCGCACACACACACACACACGCACACACATAGGCAAGCAGGCACGCAGGCCAGCTCGCAGGCCCGTAGGCACTTAGGCACGCAGGCGCTTAGGCACGCAGGTGTGCGGCCCCACACGCATATGCACGCCCGCGCCCGCAAATCATCCCCTGGCCGCTACTGCTGCCGTTCTGCCGCTGCTGCCACTCTCTGCCGCTGCTGCCGCTGCTGCCGCTGCTGCCGCTGCGTTTCTTCTGCTCTTCCTCCTTTCTCTTGCTGCTCTGCTCTTCGTGCGTTCGTGCTGCTCGCAGAACGAGCAGGTTGGTACTCATAGCATTAATTGGTACTCATAGCAGCAAGGGGCGTGGATCCTTTTGTTTTCTCCTTTTTTTCGGCAGCATTGGGGTGCTTCAGGTGCGCGTCACGTGCTGTCGGGCGCTACGAGCCTGCCTTTCAGCATTTGTTTGCCAAAAGCTTGCAAAACGATGCGGGACTGCCTTTGCAAAAAATGTTCGCCAATAGCTGTAAAACGATACGGTATGTCCTAACGTCAGATGAAAACACCGCAGAGAAGTATTTTTGCCACTGACTCACATTAATACCAGGAATTGCCGTTCAGCATCGACAGTACCGAGTGGCCTTGTCAACAGATAACATCGTCGAGTTCGGCTGCGCTGCTCCGTTGATGGAACATGCCTCAGGTTTTAACATGGGAAACGTTTTGCAGTTGGCTGTGTTGAGGCGGGCTTGCCTTTTGTCTCACTCCCAGTTTGCTATTGTCTCAATGGCTCGGAAATGCTCGGAAGCAAATTAAAGGGTTTAGATGCCAGCAGTGATTTTGGAACTCTCACAAGCTAAACATAAAGCACAATGCTTGATTGCTGATTTCCAGCAGATTTGTCCAGAAAATCGGACGTACACATTCATCGGCGACAGCTCTTGCCGCATGCATATGGGCCGACAACTGCACACTGTGTCAATAAACATATCCCTCGCTAGTGAACTACACAGCTGCATAGTGCCACTGGAGCGGTTGTGCTTTGTTGCTTTTGTCGCTATCTGCAATGCATCATGAACTCGGAATGTCCCGGCATGAGTGCATGGTGTGCAGTCCGCGCAACTACTTTGTTGCGACACTGCTGACAGTCCACGTGTGCCGCTCCATCCTGATAGCTTGGTGGCTCCCATCCCCTTTAATAGCCTTTCTGTGTTTAGCGGGTGTTTCCATTTAACGCACTTAAAGTTAAACTTTTAGCAGGGGATCTGAGGGTAGCCCAGATAGTGTTGGATCACCTTCCATACTCGAAGGTTCTTTGTGCCGCGCGCGCGCAGGAGGACTCGCATCTTCGTGCGCATGCCATCAGGCAAGGTTGGGCCGAAAAAGAATACAGAGGCTGGATTGGCGATATAGAGAAATGCGCAGTGTGCATGCAATTGACTACTTGTCTTCTCAATTTACTCTTACAGATGCAACAGGTGGCTTGTGCAGAGGACCTCTCTTTGACCCGCTCGGGGTGCCTGCAACACAATAGACAACTTACAATTGAAACTCGGACCTCAACTGCCTGTTGCTTCTTTGCGAGATTCACCAAAGAGCCCTCATTGTGAGACGCGACCATGTGCTCGACGATTTGGAATGCTTCGACATTTTGAGCAGTGATTTGTCAGGCCTCAGGTTCTTTGAGCATGGTCATCTCATAACCTTCCAAATGGAGAAGCGTGTCCCCTGAATGCCTTTACTTTGGATATTCTTGTAAAACCGTAAAACAGAAGCCCTCAAACAGACATAGATATATATATATATATATGTATAAATGTATATATATATATATATACATATTCATATATATATATATATGTTATCATGATATATCAGATTACTCAACCCCAGGAATAGCTAGTTGTTCGACTTGTCTTCTTTGCCTGGTCAGGGCTCATTTATACACATATATGTGTATGTAGGTATACACATATAGTTCCCTTTCCAACCCCCAGGTGTCGAGAGACGCCTTAGGCGATATCCTTCCGGCTGACATGGACTTGGAGTGGACAACGATGCAGGCCTCCGAGTACATCGTCGCAGCTGGCCACCAACGGGTGGGATGTCCGCTGAAGTGAACATTGGTTTATGAGAGTTACATTTTGCGGAAGTTACCTTGCTTAGCTTTTGGTTCTCTTTTGGACTTAAAGCTACTTTACTGTCCAACTTTTGGAGTGGGTCAAAGTTGCTCTTCCGGGTTGTTTCCTTTTGACTCAAGTTTAGAGTTCAGCTTTGAGGATGCCACTGACTGATAGGCGCTGCGCACCTTGAAACCTCCGTTTTTGGATTGGACCGCCTTGGGAGCCTAGCAACGTGTGCACCGCATCGGAGCAGGAAGCGGCACGCTTTCCGTGTAACAAGCAGGGAAAAGGGACGGTGGTGCAGTTGATACATTTCAAAGCATCCATGGGGAACGTACAACAGAAAGGCTAGGTATCAACGCGAAAAAGCGCGTGTCCTCCATGTTGGTTTCAGGGCTCAGCTTGATGTTGATGGTACGGGGTCCCTTCTGCAAGCACAACCACATGCAAAAGCACCACTTGACTCTGAGGTCTCTTTTGAACGGATGCGGTCCCTGCAACCGTTCGTGACTGGATCGTGACTTTGTTTCCCGAGCTTTTGAAAGATCAGCTGGACGTGTGAGCTCCAGTCGTGAGCCGCAAGGACCCCTCGGATGTTGATATGTTGGGATTGACGACCCATGGAATCCATAGCAAACAATTATTATGTACTTTGTGCGTATTGTCATTCATATCTACTACTAGTACAAATACACCTGTATTCTGATTATCTATAGCATGGAGTTGATGCGTTCATGGAACCTGTTAACAGATCCCGGGGGCACAGACAGGAAGATCGCGTCTTATAAACGTAGACCCTTCATGCCTTCCTGTTAGACGCAGAAATCGGCGTTGTTAAATGGCATCGAATGGCCTGAACATTCGCATTTTTGGTATCCTGGATCATGGCTGAACACGAGAGTGAAGCGTGTCTTCAGGCGCTTTGGCGAAGTTTGGCCCAGGCAAATTGCCGAAATGTCGGGCTGAAGGACCTCGAGGGGCACGAGGCCTTTAACCTCAGCAACTCAGCTGTGAGTATGTGCGGAATGACATGAGGGTTCACGGCTGATATTTCCCTGGGCGGGTTTCAATATCAGTTCAAGGGGCAGTCCTATTAATTTGACCCAGAGTGTGGCGGTCTAGGGGCCAGCCCCCAATATCAGGTGATTGTAGGGGAGGCACCACAGAGATTTGTCGCTGGGCAGAGGTCGGAGGTCGCCATGGGAACCCGAGGATTCCGCAGGAGGATCTTGAGCAGCGATCTGACATTGAAAGCCTCTCGCTTGCACCTTGCAGCTCAAGTTCATCACCCAACAATTCGCCAGGGGCAATTATCTTTGTCGGGAAGGAGCAGTGGTACTGAAAGCTGAACCTAAACAAGCAAAAAAACAAAGAGTCACCTATGTTCACCCAACTCTACGGGCCCCTTGCGAATTTCATTCTCCATCTCTAGGCGCGGACGTCCGCTTGTTGGGGGTGCACACTCCCCACTTGCACAGGCTAAGTAGGAAAATCTAGCCAACCCCAAGGACGCTTTCATGGTGTTTTGCAGTTGGTTTCTGCCTTCTCACAGATGGGCCGTTTTTTTGTTCCCCATTTGGATTGGTGCGCCTTGAAATGGCCCGGTAGGTGGTCCTCCATTTGCGCCATGCTCGGGTAGACCGAGCGCCGGGTTCGGGTTTTTCAAGAAGGCCAAGTGGACCTGGAACCTCCACTTGCTTTGCGGGGGAGAACGCATAGATTTGGGGACTGAAACTTTCAGGTCTGAATTTCCAAGGAGAGCGGGGCTGAGATTGGCAGCATCCTCGGGCTGGTCCCCTCCGAGTCCCAGGAGCGAAGTTCGGTGAGTCGCTAAGTCGCTTGCAGCTTGCAGACTTCGAGAGCGGAGTGGGAGACTGTACATTTGAGCGTTATGAACGCCTCTACATCAAGTCGTTTTTTTTTGTGCTCGAGTGAGTGCCATGGTCTCGAAGCATGTTGTCTCCACCTTGGAGGGCTGCCATGCAAATGGATGAAGTTGCAGCACCTTTTAGGGCGCAGTTCTTTGCGCCAGTGCATGTCCTTTCGCTCACGGAGCCAATTTTTTTGCCCTGCCAGGTACCCCCAGAGTAGCGCACCGCGCCTCCACTCAAGAAGTGAGCCGCGCGTTGCTGCGCCTGCTGCGGGGTTTGGTTGGGAAAAGGATGGCCGAGACAAAAGAAACAAATAACGCTACCTTAGTCAGTCACTGCAAGCGCTGTATCTTACGACCACGCTCACATTTTGCTGCGCAGATGAGCAAACATTTTGCGTACTGCGGTATTTGTTCTTGTGGCTTGACGGTCCCCTAGCCGTTGTGCAGATTGGGGGGGCATCGGTTTTGCGCCATTTACATATGTCCTTAATTACTCTGGTTGCTGGACATGTTCGATTTGCACAGCTGCTTCATTGGAGTTTAGCTTTAGCATGCTTTCAGAAGTGGAGTCTCTTCGCAAAGCGGCTTTCGGATGCACCAACCAGGCAAATGCTTGGAGTGGAAGTCCTGCAGTACATGCACCCACAGTAAACAGGAACCTCTCACGACCCGACCCGGTGAGGATGAGCTTGGGTTATTTGACGCTTTTGTCGCAGGATTTGGCCCTTCGTCTTTGGGCCAAACACACGCAGGAATTCCGTCGCCAGCAATTTTCGTAAGCCAGCTGGGGCTTTCCAGTGGCTGAGCTTGGCCTCGCGGCTTATGCGCCTAGCGGCGTCCACATCATTGAGGCTTTGACCTTGACTGTAAAGTGGCTTCGGTCGGCCAGACATGAACGAAACCAAGAGACGAACCTGTGAAATGCGACCCTGCCCTTGAAGCCCCGCCCCACGACTCGGTGAGTTCAATCTCTCAACCACGTTCAACCCGGCAGAAACCAGCAGCTTAGCCGGTTTACACAGTAGCTATAATATGTATAGACGGGTGCTTGTTTGTGCTTATCCTTGAACAGATCAACCAGGCGGGTCTGGTTTGATACCACATTCGCTAAGCGGGCATTGGCTCCAACAAAGATATCATCTTCGAAAGGACCATGCTGCATGGTTTGTTTGAAATTGCGTGCCCTGGGAAAAGAATATATTTATGCTTGCGTTTCTCCGATTGTCATTGTATTGGTGCTCAGAGTTTCTTAATGAGTCCTGGGTCCGGAAAGGTCCAAGTGGCCAGCGCCTTGTTTGGCTTTGTTGGGCCCTCAGGGTGAATCCAGGGAGACGAACAGCGGTAATTGGATTTGTGAGATGTGATGCTTCATTTTGTCCTTTTGCCACTTGGGATGTGAGATGATATGATTGTTATCATGGGGCTTTTGGAGCTTTGTCAAGGCTGTCAAAGGAAGCATGATTGGAATTTTAGATCTCGTCCAAACTGTGCTCACAAAGAGCACTGCAGTAGTAGTGTTGCCACAGACCAGCCAGACAGAACCTGAAGTTGCTGCCCGAGCCAAGAATCGAGCTCGCTTAACTCAATCGTGTCACTTGCTTGATTACTCTTTTTCTGGAATCACAAGCCACGGGAACGGATCAATTGATTGGTCTGGTTGGTCTGGTGTTTTGTGATGTGGCGAGATGCGTTTAAGAACCCATTCGGGTTCACTAATTCTACGGCGCCAAGTCGCCTGCGGCTCGACAGCTCAACGGTTCGGCTCGTGTGCGATGCTGGCATAATGATCCAGAAGTTTGCACCGGCCGATCTGCCCCGGATGGGAAGGAATGTTCAGAAAGTGTGCCCCGGGACAAGGAAAGGGGTTGCCAAGCCACGAGAGAGAGAGAGAGAGAGAGAGGTTTGATCACAGCCGCCCATGCCACCACATTCTTTTGGATGATTCTTACGTCTTAGGTTCATTGGGCAACTTTCCATGCCCTGGCCTGTAGCTTGCTACGCCGGGCATGCCTTTCTGCTGCTTTTCCCCGGCAGCCCTCCGCGCGGGCTCGAGCGCGTGGGGCCATGTGCAACACATGGCAAGTCAACGCGGGTTTTGGGGGATCAAAGGGAAGCCGCGACTCGTGCTGCGCTGCTTGCAGAGATGGTTGTACACAGGCTTCCATTTGGTTAAGAATCTCTATATATATATATATGTTTTCCCTGTTGGTTTTAAAGGGAATCTATCACTACTGGAAATATTTATATTTTTTCCTTGGACTTAAGCAAATGGAGACAGGCAAATCTTGAAGGGTTTTCAATACACACAAGGGATCACAAGGGACCTTGGCCCAGCATCCAAATAGGGAGTTTGGACAATGTGCTCGCAGCTTGTCGACTAAATGATGTAATGACGTTGAAATGTAGATCAACGTGAGCAACAACTGGGTTTGAGCAAGACACTGATACACATACTCGTCCGATTTAGTAAGAGGCGCTTGTGTTTGATTCAAGCAACAATGTGAAGTTGCAATGATCTAAGTCTATCAACCAAGACAGATCACTTGTTCAGTTTGAGATCACGATGCCAAGCCAATGACGGAAGCACAGCTTGCTGGGATAGTCCTGACTTTGGTATCTTGAAGCACAGCAGAAATGCTTTGGTTTGTTTCTATGGCTTGGCTGATTTGACATGCACTCTTGGCGCTCGGATTTCTTTACGGGACAGTTGGCTTTTGCCTCAATGCTAGCCTTGTCAAGCTGCATCATGTAAACCACGTATGTTTGCTGCCTAAAGGCTTGAAAGGGTCCGACGAATACAAACTCTCTTGACACCGAGCATGAGGCTATGCGAGGCCGGCTCTGATCTGGCATTGGTTTGCGCATGCCTCAGAGCCACGGGGATGGAAGCTGCAAACCAGTGCACCCCATAAATCAAGAATTGCTTGATTTGGAGGTCATTGACTGAGCCTGAGCCTGCACCACATGGTTGACACTTTTTTCCAGGAATGCCATTATACTCCAGACCTGAAGGGACACATGGCTGTAGTTTCCACCGAACGTACATTGAGGGAGCTAGCTAAATTGCTTCTTCTGCTTTTGGTTTCTTGCAGGCATCTCATTCTGGTGACGAAAGTTGTAGGCGCGCATGTGTTGCAGCAGTCACCCGTGAATCTTCTCAAGATACAGTCTTGCTCAATACCTCACCGTCCAAAGCAACCAGGTAGTTTGATTCGCGTCAGAAATCTTAGGTGGCCAGCTGCCTTCACTTGAAAATACCCACTTAGCAAGGCCTGTGTCGCAGCCCACATCACTCTGCCATCGGTTGGAAGCTAGGGGAGCTCAACCAGGTGGCGTAGGATAGGCATGATCAGCTTGTTCGACCCATTCCACATTTCCTGCATCATATTACGTGAGCTATCAAACAGAAAGCGGATGTTGTCGCACTGGGCTAGTCTGGCCAGGGAATTGCTTGCCAATTGCAAATGAGTGCAATGTACCTTGCCCAGATTCGGTCTCACATCTCTGACCGCACAAATGATGTCAGCCAGTGATTCAGACAGAAGCTTGAGGCCAAGTAAATTGGAGAGCTGTCCGTCTCGTTTCTTGTCAACTGAACCTTGATTCATACACTGTTCAAAGCATCGACTTGGTTTGGGCAGAAGTCGAGAGACCTTATGCTTCTAAATCCTGGACCTCACACCAAAGGCGACTCAATCCTGAGCTTTGAGACCCGCCCAAAATGGTCTCCCGGCATCTCCACGAGGCCTGAACAACCGAGCAGCTTGTCATGCACAGCTGCAGCGGCCACTCGGCTGTGATGTGTTTTTCCCATGTGCGCATACAACCACCCATGCTGGTAACTGCGTTTAGTTTGGAGGGAGCTCTTTTTAGGCATTGCAAGTACTTGCCTGCTGGCCTGACCAAGACAGTATAGAATGCCTTCTTTGACATGTGTTTTCTTTCTTCCGGGTCTATGTGCGTAAAGGTCATGAGTTGACTCGAAACGTCTCGTTTTGAGCATGCTAAGCTTAAGTATCCGCCTGAGACTAGTTTTCAGCACGCTGGTGCTTCTCAATAGCAGGATTATCGAACGAAGGACTAGGCTAGCAGCCGTGGTCACGGTACTCTATGTGAAGAAAGCTTGGCTATCAAGCAACGAACACACTGCGACTGTTCATGTACCTTGTTTTGGCGGCTGCTCAAGTGCCAAGCCGAACACACACACACACACACACACACACACACACACACACACACACACACACACACACACACACACACACACACACACACACACACACACACACATTTTCATGTTTTCCGCGGGCTTTGTGCCTCTGCCTTCTAAATGTTTCATGATATGCATATCACATATGATATACATACACCACAATGTGCGGAAACTCGATACGCAGTGGTTGTCTCCAGTCGAACGTTGATTCATTGGGAGGTCTTGAAGTTGTCGCCTTGTATCACACCAGCCCCTTCAGTGCAGTATCGCAGCACCTGAGGCATGAGCTGGTGGTGCAGGATACTTCAGAGGCCCGGCTCGTGACTGGCTGCCTTGGCCGACCAGCTGCTCAACGTAGACCAAGGGCATATATTGAACTTGCACCCGTGCAACGGGATTCAGCATACTGCGAGTTTCGGAGATTTGGTGGCCGCAGCAATAGCATGGTTGCTGCTTGATTGAGTTTGATCACATGCGCAAACACTCTCCGTATTCCAGCCTATCGTCCCAAAGCGGCATCATTCAAGGCTGTACCGGCTTTGCAGCTGATTTGGATATGCTCTATCCTGATCAGTCAAACTAGTTTGCTGACGCAGTTCACCTGTGGTGAATCCTCGACTCGAAGTGTCAACAGCACAGTTTGGCACGCCATCTCAATGTGGGCTCGAAGACCATTGTAATCTCTTCCCCCTATTAATAAATACCCCCCCCCCCCTCTTATAAATAAATCCACCCAAAATATATATATATATATATAATTGGGGTTTTTGGGGTTGGGTTTTTGTTGCTTTTCCAACAATGTGAGGGTTCGCATAGGATTTGGAGGAAATGGATTGAATTGTAAGGTCCGCGAGTAAGCGGATTAATAAGGAAATTTGATGTATCATTCTATTTGTTTACCAGTTTACCGGTTGTTTGTTTGCAGCCAGGCAGGTTAATTAGCCAGCATGTACGGGAGCTTGCTAAAAGTGCCCCCTAATAAGGATTCCAAGACTTTAGTATTGG